AGGGTAGGTCTAAGGGTCCGTAGGTCGTAGCGTCCCCTGAGATACATTATTAAGTTGGTTGATCAGAAAATGCTAGAAACCGGGCTCAGCGTCCTTCATGAAACTCAAATGACGTTACTCAAATGGTGTTACCAACACTATAAGATGATGATGATGATGATGATTATGATGATGATGATGATGATGATGATGATCTCCTGATGAGTCGGTGAAACTCCGACAAAACAGTTCGCCACAGCCCCTCGTTTGTTGTCATTTTTTCCCTCTCTGCCTATGGTTTACCAGGTAGCTCTGTTTGGCGATTTATGCATATATTTAGTGGTAACTTCACTAGAGTCACACAAACGAGTTATAATTGCACTATGGGCAAGATACAGTTTGCAATTGCACTTGGGGCACCATACCTGGCCAGAAAGCTGGGTTGTATACGTTGCCCGAACTCCAGTTTGAAACTGTATCTTGGCCCAAAGTGCAATTATAAGTCATTGTTGTGACTCCCACATAGTTTCCCCTAAATTGATCTATAAAAAGGGTGGAGGGCAAGGAGCAACTTACCTAAGACAGAGGATGAAGATGATTTTAAACCACTAGTACTTGGCCCAGCCATCGGCCGCGGGAAAAAATAGACTGAAAACGTTTATAGTCGGATAAACATGGGCGCTCTTTTACTAGCCAGTACGTTTCCGAAAATCATTGCACGTTAACGGGCACGACTCTAGGAAGTACTGGAGGCTTAATGCATAAAATTCCGTATGAGTCTATGACTTTATGGGCCCACTATCCATGCTTAGCGCCCAGATTCGCCTCTACCCGACTCTTCACTCCAAAGACAATCTCATCCTGCCAACAACAATTTTACCCTTGCAGGGAGGTAAAAATATCATGATTAACAAGGGAAGCTGCTCCGAACAAACACCAATCATAAGGCAAACAACTTGAATTTGCCTGAATCTGTATTTTTTTGGGGGGGGTAGGATAGGAGCCATTGACACTGCGCAGCCGGTCGTCCCAGCCAGATCCCGTGCCAACCTTGGGTACCCGAGCGACACGACTGGTAGCCCAGGTTCGGGATTGTTTGTGAGGTTCACCGGCCTCGTTTCCCAGTATGCAATGAAAGTATCAATTGTTGAAAAAGATGCACTCTTACACCTTCTGCGAGGCTTTTCCAATCCTTGTGCATGACAACAGCGTGCATGCAATAGGCATGTATGTGTATGTTACACACACACACACACACACACACACACACACACACACACACAC